AAGTTTGTTTTGAGGTTTTTCCTCAAAAACTTGTATCCTAGGCCTATTAGGCCATCTCTAAAATTGATGTGTTTTATTTTTATGTACTCTTAGTTTTATGTAGCTCAGAGAATAAAAGAACTTGAGCAAGAAAGAGAGGACCAGAAAGTGAAATGGCAACAATTCAACAACAGAGCCTATTCCAAAAACAAAAAAGGCCAGGTTGGTAAATCTTTTTATGACACTTTGTAAATTTGAGAAATGTGACTTACTAACTTTAAAATGAAAAGAGAAGTATGTAGATTTTTTTAAAGTATGATTAACTCAGATTTTGCATTCAGAATCCTTGTTGATGCTCAATTTAGCTTATTGAAAAATGTTAGCCATCGTCTCTGCACAAAAATATTACAAATGAGAGAATTTATATCAGGAATTACAAAAGGTCTATGTTCTTTTCCTTTAATAAACTAATATTTAAAAAAATGGTTGCTACTTGGAGGCAGTGTGCTTAACTCTACCTGCTTTATTAACATGCCTTCATGCTGGGCATTAGGGGGTAGACTTTATTTAAAAGTACATTCAGTTTCCCTTGATACACTTATCTTTCTGAGTGTGTGTTGGGTAGAAAAAAACTGTAGCATTCATATAGGAAGTTGAGAATAAGGATAGCCTGACTTTCACCCATGTATTACTCGTCACTCCCATCAAGGTAGCCCTTCCATTGATGGACATGGCTTCTGGAAAGAAGTGCGTCCTTTTCATAAAGATGTTTATTTTGTGACAAATAAAGGCCAAGGGACTTCACAATTTAGATATCATAACAGGCCCCACAGTAAACCGCAATATAGCCAGAGCTTTAATCATGCTAAAATGGCTCGCTCACAGCTGAAGTTAGGATTTGAGTTTTCAAAACTAAAATTTTGAGGTATCAGAAAGCAAGTGTTATGAGTATTAGTGTCTAATGATATTTTCCTCAACTTAGAAGTTAAGAGTAAATGGCTTCCAGCATGGGACCACTTCTGTACCCATTTTTTAACACTGAACAAAGGCAATATGCTTTTCTTCTTTTAAACATTAAAACCAGAATATATTTTAACATTACTTAAAATTTGAAATTTTTTATTTTTTCCAATACTAATAGGAATGGTTTCTGTTTTCTTTCCCCTAGGTAAAGAGGAGTATTTTTGCTTCACCTGAGAGTGTGACTGGCAAAGTTGGAGTAGGAACTTGTGGAATTGCCGATAAACCTATGACACAATATCAAGATACCTCTAAATACAATGTCAGGCATTTGATGCCTCAATAATCAGAAAAACTGTTGGATTTCATCTCTGCAGGGCTTTACATTTACCTTTTTATCCTTATATTTTTCTAAAGGTAAATTATTTGTTAGATGAGTAAGCAAGATACCATTGTCGTCATTGGTTGACTTCAGTAGAATGAAACATGAAGAAATTGCATTTGATAACTGCTATTTGTTTAACTTTTCTCATTATCAGTACCACGGTTCCCTCAAAGTTTGTTGAATAAAGCAACTTTTGTAGATGCTGTTTCATACAGCACTTAGATGAATTATTGATCTTCCTAATATCAGGCGCCTACTTAACCTATGGTATGTACTTTTTGTAAGTTGTAACTTGAAATTTTCAGATGCTTTGAACTTGACACATATTCTGGCAATTCATTGGAACACCAAGGCAAAAACACCAACCTGCTAAAGAGATCCTTTCATTTTTCTTATTTTCAACTTTAAAACTTAGCTGTCGTTCAGTTAAGCCTAAAGATAGGTTAATTTGTAAATGGCAAAGTTTGTTTTGAGGTTTTTCCTCAAAAACTTGTATCCTAGGCCTATTAGGCCATCTCTAAAATTGATGTGTTTTATTTTTATGTACTCTTAGTTCTATGTAAGAAACCTTAGGATGAGCTCCCTTTTCTAAGGTGTTTTTGTTTTTTGTATGTTTGCTTTTTTCCTGTTTTTTGTTTTTTTCATTTACGGCAGTGGTACCATGTTTTGGATGTGTAATGTTTATATGGGAGAACAAAAAGCTGATGTATAGCCCTGTATACAGTGTAGATACTATTTTTGTAAAAACACAAGGCTAAATTAATGAACAAGAGTACTGAATGTTTCATCATTAAAAATTTCTTGTATTTCTTGTGCATTAATCTGACCATAATTTCCCTGTATATTATGTTCATTTAGCTGTTTGTAATTTTTGTTAATTAGATCAAGTTGTCTGCATTTGTTGGTGTAAATGAACATCACAGTTATCCTGAGTTGAGTTTAAGCCAAATACATGCATAGAAAAGGGTCTTCCTATTAATGGAAGAAGGTAATTTTTAGGATGTGTATTATTTCAGTTTTGTATGTTTAACTTTTATTAAATAAAGTGTTTTTAAAATCTCCAGGGTGTGTTAACAAAAGGGTAAGCTCTTTAGCTGTCAGCACTTAACAGTGATTAAACTTGCACACAGCATTGCCATGGAAGAGAATATTGAGTGTGAGAGGAAGGTTTCAGTAAATCCTTAAGTATTCCTTCCATTAGAAGAAATTGGATCTTAAAGGGCAAACTAGGCATGTGTTTATAGGATGTTCTCATTTTAATGGGTGTTTGTAGATTTTTGGAGGAAAGGGAAAATAAATTTTTATTTCATGAATTTTAACTTTTTTTATAAATTGAAACTTAGGACAGTGTTAGGTAGACTTCTTCATCTCTCCCTTCCACCCTCAACCCCTCTCAACCCAGGAGGGTCACTTTTTCTTCATATAATTCGTGGCCACAGGGTAGGACACAAAGGACAGAAAGGCACAAATTGCAGTAGAAGAAGGGCTCTTTGAAGCCTGTAAACTTCTAAATAAAATAAAGTTTCTTATTGTAACATCTTAAGAGCTTATCAATAATCAAGAGTGGCCTTGATGGACTGCAAGAGAATCCTTTGAATTAAAAGCAATGGGAAGAAATTTGGTGTCATTGTGACCCCAGAAAATGGTTGTTGAGATTACCTTGGTGGTGGTAGAATAGTAATTCACCTGATGTTTGTGTAGGCAGGACTGTTAACAGTCTTGTCCCTCTTTTGACCCTGAGGGCCTTAGTTTTCCCAGAGGACTTTGCAGTAGGAGAGAGAAAAGGAATAAAAGTGACCTTATCAAAAAAAAAAAAAAAATCCATTTTGAAAATAGACCTTTAGAATGAAATCAGCAACCATTGTGTCAAAGATCTAGATGTGGCCCTTGGATGATGATTGTGTCTCTGAACTAAGGCAGGACTCCTGGGGAGACTACCTGTCAGTGTGATACTGAATTTGAGAAGACGCTCAATGAGAAGCATGATACCAACAGTATTTTACAATTGAAGGTGGTTAAGCTCTCTATTCTAAAACGAAATATAAACGTTGACCTTAAAAAGCTTTATTAGAAAATTTAATGTGGAGTTTTCCCCATTAAGAAAGGAGACTTGAAGCTTTGAAACTGTGACAGACTGAAATGTTAAATACGGAGTTATGGGCCCCTAAGTAGAAATGGTTGCATGTAACTTACCAAAGCTTGACATTTGACTGTTGTTACCATTTCAAGGAAAGAACAGTTCTAACCTCCCGGAAATTAATAACCAAAATGTTTAGTTTTAGTAGTAATCACAGGTAACAAGTGCTATTTTAATTAACATGTAGGGAGGCCACAGAGCATATTGGAAAACAGCAAGGACTCTAGAACCAGACAAGTGTTTATTACCATTTATTACCTGTGTATTCCCATTTATTACTTGTGTATTCCTCTGACTCATTTTTCTCAGCTGTAGAATGGAAAAATCTGTTGCAGTTTTAAGGATTGAGTTCAAATGTGTAAACAGCTTAAGAGTGTCTGGCATAAGCACTATAGAAGTGTCTGCTATTACTCTGCAGAGTGGCAATGGTGAATTATCTGGTATTTTTTCTGTAACTTCAACAGCAATCCACATTACAATGGATAACAATACCCATTGTTTATGATTTGAGGCATCCAATTATAACCATTATTGAAGTGTTACCAAATTACCAAGGTTGTAAGATATATTTAGTATTCCTAGTTAAATGTTTGAACTAATTTGTATACTAGGGCATGTTTTCTTAATGGGAAGGGGGTGAAGGTTATAATAAAAGTCACCCCTAATGCTTGTTTAAAATTAAAGAGGAATTTGTGGACCTGGGACCAACCTTAGACTTATCCAGGCCAAGGTATGTCTGTCTGACGAACACCACAGGTGATCCTGATGTGCAGCCCCGTCTGAGAACTGTTTTGTTAACTATAAAGATTTGACTTTTGAAATTAAGAAAAATTACCTTTTAGCCTAATCATGAAGACTAGGCATCAAACCAAAACAAGATGCATCAGTTATTGTAGCAACACATTTTTTTAAAAAAAATTGCTTGTTGTCACATTGAAGGGTGTGTATGTTTCCAGTATGCAATTCTAATTCTGAATGTCTGCCTTAAAAATAGCAAAGGAGACCATCAGGTTAACATAAAGGAAAATTGTAGTTTTGTGACTCTTGGGTGTCTAGATTATAATTTTATAATTACAATTTTTATAAGATTAAAACTACCGGTTGTAAATTCAACCAAAAAAAAAACATTTAAAGCTTTGATATAGCTTTTTGCTTTAACTTGGGTAGTAATTGAAAATATAAAGGAAGAAAATCTATTAAAACCAATGAGGTTTTATATTTGTTAAAATCTTGATTCGATAAATATCAGCTGAATTAAGTATTTGTATGGTACTACGAAGCAATCAATTAGTATAAATGGCAGTTTACAAGTTCAACAGTAAATGTAAACATTCTTTGTATCTAGGATTTTTGAGTTGCAAGTTAAACTGAATTTTTACTGCAGTGGAGAGGAAGAGCATAGCAGGCAAAACAGGTAATATTGTATTTTAAACAGAAAAACCCAAGTAATTGGCGCCCTTTACCCGATCATTGTTTAAAAGGCCTATATATGTGTATAGTTAGGTTCTTAAGAAACATCTTAAGAGGTTCAGAAATCAATTTTATAGTTGGAACATTTTAATCATTTGTTTTGGCCTAGCCAAACTAAATAAAACAAAACAAAATGGTGTTAGATTTCTGTGAGGTGTTTTAATTGCCTTTTAACTTACGTATATAAAGGTGGTTCTTTTGTGGCCTTGACTGGGGTAAAGCAGAACTGAGAATGAAGGGTTTGTGGTAGTTGACAGCTGAACTAGCTACACATACGAAGTTTTGGATATTTAATTAATCTTTCAGTTCCCAGGCAATAAAAACTGGAAACTTAGTTCCACCACACACCTTACCAGTTATTTAAAACAAAACCAGTATAGTCACTGGAATTATTTAAACTGTAATTTGTTTCTCCACTTAGTCTTTTTTTTAAGAATACAGCTGAAAAAGCCATGGTGATACTAGGAGAGAAAGTTGGCATTTTGTTTGAAGAGCTACTTTCTCAACTTGGGGCTGAAAGTTAAGGTGGTGGTTGTTTTGCTGGCTCAGGGTTTTCCCTTTCTTGGTAAAACTGATGTGCTTTTGTTTTTTCCCCTTTCAAGCCCTGTACTTACTTTAGCAAGATGCAGTGAATTTCTGACCAGAGAAACAAAGAATTCAGGCTTGGAGGAAACACTTGACTCCATATCCTGGGAAACTAGAGTTGAAGCCTGAGATCTGAAGCTAGGCTAGTAATCACTTTAATAGATGGTAACTGTCCAAATGTTCATTGCTCAGAAGTAGCAGGAAGGAGTAAGTATCCCTTTTATTCTTTTGCCTGGAGTTTTTCCCTCCAAAATCACCCTCAGGTTTAGTTGACCTAGGTTTCTAAGTGTGATGAAGCTACTAATTTAGAAATGACTGATGATCTTAAATTTATACTCTTCTTATAAATTTTAGAGGTACTTTTATAGGTTTTGTTATATTTTTACAGTGCTATTCTGTGCCCTGGTGTGAGCATCTAAAATAAGTATCTCAATTATTACTCTACCAATAAAGATTTTTAAAGCATTCCCCATGGCAAAGAGCTATGAGCTTGAGGATATGGAAAAAATTCCAAAACTACAGTAAGTTAGTTGGCAGTATCTTAAAAGAACTTCATTTGAAGCCATTTTCTCTAATTTATGACTATAGAAAGGTAAAACAGAACAGGAAGTGATTAGCCAGTACATTTATTTTGAACTACGCTGCCTATTTAAAACAATCTGACATATTCTACAAGAAAACCAGTTTCCTATTAGATCTGATACATAGGAAAGGAGATAACTGCTGTTTCTCTTTCTTGGCAAAGTCAACACTAAATATTAACCTAGGGCACATTACTATCAGTACACAATATGTTCAACTTGAGGTTAGTCCTTTTTTTTTTTTTTTAAGAACAAATATTCACTAAAACTGATGCTACATTATATAAAGCCTTCATTTAAGAAATTCTGTAGGAGGCTGGGTGCACTGGCTCACACCGGTAATCTCAGCACTTTGGGAGGCCAAGGTGGGCAGAATATACAAGGCCAGGAGTTTGAGACCAGCCTGGCCAACATAGTGAAATGCCCTCTCTACTAAAAAATACAATAATTAGCCGGGTGTGGTGCCACATGCCATAGTCCCAGCTACTCAGGAGGCTGAGGCAGGAGAATTGCTTGAACCCAAGAGGTAGAGGTTGCAGTGAGCCGAGGTCGCGCCACTGCACTACAGCCTGCGTGACAAATTCTATAGGAAATAACAAATGACTTCTTTTATTAAAGTATTACCTACCATGGAATTTTGCTTAAGTGAACTAATATTTAGAAACAGTCTTTTTCTGCAAGATCTAGTCAGAGTAACTAAAATTCAGGATTAAGGATGCGTTAGAAGGTTGCATTCAACAGAGAAACTAGAGAAACACACACCTTTTAATTTCCTACATCTTCCTAGATGGCAGTCGGGGAGTGGGGTGGTTAAGTTCAACCTTTCAAGATAGAGGTAGTACTTATAGTAGCTTTTCAGGAGGAAAAAGGTTCCATGAAGAAATTAAGTAACAACCAGGGTCAGCAAATGTTGGAACTGGGATTAAAGTATAATTAAAACACTTGCTTTTCCCACATTTTACTGTTTTGGGTTAACTGTTGGGAACCTGATTTTGGTCAGGAACTTTGCCTCAATAATTCTCACTGCCTCTTAAAATTCCTTTGTAACGCTAAAAGTAGTCATTGTCGGGGAGATTAGAAAGGTATGAAAATAGGAGTTTTCATACCTATTCTAACCAGAAACTTGAGTTGCCATGACTTCAGAATCCTCTAGTCATAATGCACTATAGGTTTTACCTGTACCTCTTTGAGACAGCGTCTTGCTCTGTTGCCCAGGCTGGACTGCAGTGGCTCAATCTCAGTTCACTGCAACCTCCGCCTCCCGGATTCAAGTGATTCTCCTGCCTCA